CTTCCAGTGACAACACTGATATACAGCATTTCAAAAAGTAGGCATCGACAAAAATTTTATTATACAAATCGATGCTTTAAATATCAAATATATAGAAGAATGTCTACTTTATATGATGGTATAGTTAACTCATTTTTGCAAAAAATGCCATAAGCCGTGTTTTAATTGACTGGACCCCATATAATAAGTTCTATTTGAGAACATCCACAGCAAAAGCAGAAGATGAGATTATATATTATATAGTTCCATTCACTGCTTTTGCTATGGGCGTTCCATTTCAGAAATTTTTAAGATGTACTCATATAGCGCTCCTGGTTTTAGCGTGACTGCGTCGCGCAGCTACCCTAATTAAATACTGACTGTTGGTTTAACCGACATTTGGTTATATCGACTACTTTTTTAAATAAGTTTGTAAGTGTAATTTAATAATATAATAGGTTTTATATTTTTGCCAATTTAGTGTACAAGCACCTAAATTAATAGGTCGGAATTCAATTTTCAATTAGTGGAAAATAGTTTAGCTAGTCAAGTAAGTTTATTATTGTGAGAAAAAAAAGAAGGTATTCGAGACTAATAATTGGATCCGGGTAGGCGTCATCCGGGTTACTCGCGGGTGGATGGGTGACCCGGGTGACACTATTCGAGACAATATCTGTATATAATACCTTTTCTAACGTTTAACCAAAAAAATTTATAAATCGATAAATAACTCTCTAGTTTCTGTGGTACTAGGAGAAAAAAATACTAGCTAGTTTTAATAATCATATTCCCATCAAAAATGAATTGATAAATTACCGGCGTCAACCGCATTAAAAACTTACCGATTCGGTTATCAATAATTTTTTTCAATTACCCCAGGAATAATGAAAATAGTTGTAAACTTTGGGTAGGTTTTAATGTTAGTGGATTTCGGTAGTAATAACGGATCCGGCTCGAATACTATTCGAAATTTCGTGTGTGATCATAGCATTGGACGCGTGAATCTACCTATGATATAATGTGCGATTTCTGTATCAGAGAAAAAAAGGAAATGATTATCGCGTGAATTATATAAAATTTTTGTTAATCATTTAATAGTAAAATAAAAATTTACTTTTTTCACAATGTCTGTAATTCGGCCTATAATTCCTGAAAATAAAGAAATACTTGAATGGTGTTCAGATTTTAGCAAACTCGAAACTTATGTAAGTGGTGGTTAATCTACTTCAATATATAAGTTATATGATAATTAATTTTATTAAAGTTCGATAAAGTGCCCTTGGATAGACAACAAGAAGTCGGTGGTCAAAAGCTTAAATCTTTGCTTAGTGAAACTGAATTTCCCGGTCCTATCCCATTATCTTCAAATAATCCCATTACTTTCTCATTATCCACGCACCAATTTCAGTCAGTACGAGTCGCGTGCAGGGTTCGTTTTCTACACTTATGATCTTGAATGTTTTATCATACAATTATACAATTTTTTTGTAATTATTATATATTGACGTTCAACAGATTATACAAAAAACACGATTGTATTTACAGCATATTGAACAAAATGTACCTATTAATATACAACCCGCAGTTTTTCATGCTTTGATTCCACTTGGAAAGTACGCTATTTTCTGTTTTTCTTACAACAAACATTGCCTTTTTTCATTACTTATTAAAATTATTTCTCATTTAATTAGCCATTCTTACAATAAAGATCCACGTCATGATCCTATAGTTTTATTCAATCGATGGATAATAAGATCAAAGTATAATGACGTCAACTTTGGTTTTGAATTTGATCCAGATGAAAAATCTGCAATGGTGTTGGAAAATTTATATGAACGATTGAGTCAAGATATTGCTGTATATAAATATATATTGTTATTTTGGCTGCTTTATTTATTTTAATTAATATACCCCTTTTTTATTAAAGTCATTTGTCTCAGGGTCTGTATCACAAGATTCTATTTCGCTTTCTGACTCTATCTACAAAATATTTCGCTGTCAATTGGCTCTTGAGTTAGGAGAATATTATTTCTCCAGGAATTGTGAGAAAGCTTTCTATTATTTATGTAAATGTAGACTTGAAGGTCATTCTTATGAGCGAACAAAGGAGTATAAAGCTTTTTGGTAAGAGAATCGGCGTCATATACATTATGATAGGTTTATTTCTAATTATTGCTTTCTTGATTTTCTCTAAGTACAATAGACCAGGATCGATTATCTGCTTTAATTAATGGGACGGGTATTATAACGACTTTTCCCCCATCTGAGCAAATAAATTATTTTAAAGGTGATTTAGATTATGAGGGTGTGTATAAGGTCTTGCTGAGATCGCTTGAGAAAAATGTCTCATTTACTATGTCGATGGAAGAAACGCGCGCTCTCGTTGATCAAGCTATTAAGTTTCATAAAGAATTCGCAGCAATCAAGATCGCAGTTTATAATGCCTTAAGATTACAACTCAATGCATCTGTTGGTTAGTTTTAACTCTTTTTCTTAAAATGTTTTTTTTTTCATATATATATATATATTAATTTATTTTTTGGTTTATAGATGATATGCTTAATGAAGTGCCCGTACAGTGTATTCAATATTTTCATAATAATTTTGATGAGCAGGTAGTAAAGGATATCATTGAACTGGTAAAAACAATTTATGGAAACTTTCCTGGAGTAAAATTAAATGTGAATCAAAGAAAATTTCTTTCTTTATTTTTCGAAAAACTTGATAATGATAAAGTTTGGGATGTCATAAGGAAAATTGAAGGTATGCTTGATATCCATATCTTTTTTTAAAAATGAATTTAATGCGTATTTACCAATTTCATTTAATTATAGGGATGGAGTTTGTGCAGTATCCACTCGAAAAAATAATCGAGCCATTAGTTCTACTAAACATGCGTTGTAAATCAACAAATGTTTTCAAACATAAGACTAACGGCAACAAAAAATCCAGACAAAGTCAAGAAACTAGATTAAATATTGCTCATGATGATTTTCAAATTCCTAAAAGCTTGAAACATATTCAGGTTCATCCCAAAATTTTCTTAAAGACTTCAATTACTTCAATTATTATAGTGTTATTTAGACTAATTTATTAATTAAAGCTTCGACCATCTCGACCTCCTAATACAATTCCGTTGATATTCCAACCATTAAATCAATCTTCTCGAATTGATCGAGTAAGTTGATTCATTTTATCATTTCATTTCGATCTAAACTTATACTTGAATATATATTCATATTTTTTTAGAACATTTCGCAAAATACTATTTCTTCGAGATGGAAAGCTGTTGAGGAATTTATAAACTCGGCATATCATCAACAATCTTTGGATAACTCTAAATTAGAACATGTGGAAAGTCTATGTAATAATGCATTGGATGATATTCTAAGGATGGATTTACAAGACTTGGTAAGAATACGTCTTTCTGTCAAAACTTAATATATTGAATATTATAATGGCTTAATGTAATTCGGATTATTTATAGGAGGATGTTGTACGAATTTTGATGGATCACTCACGATGGCAATTTTTGAGTAAATTCTTTACGAACATACTAAAATTGAAATCCAAGAACGAGTTTAAGCGTTAGTTTTAATTTTTTTTTTTTGTTTAGCAAAATTCTTAAAATTTAATAATTTACATCAGACGTTTATAATGTTATATTTATCAGTTGCTTATTCTACGCAATACCATTTCTGCCGATTTATGATTCCGTGTACTTGTATATTGAAGTTATACTCAAAATATGCTCAAGGTATGGGATTTTTTTAAAAAAAAATTTTTTTTTATTTTTATGAAAATGTCTTAATAATTATTACGAATTCCGTCAGGCATCTATAATTTTGATAATGATTATGAATCTATATATCAAAAAGAATTTGACGTAATATTCAGCATGGACTACAATGATATAAGGAAATTACGCGTTTCAATACGCAAGATGATTAAAGCATTCACTCTGTTAGATAACAAAAATATGGTAAATTACTTAACATTATCGAACACTTCATAAGTACTCCACCTTTAAACTTTAATTATTTAATATGCAGGGACTTTCCCTTAGAATTTTGACAAAGCTCAAAAACTTGAAATGGGCACATCAAGTGATTGGATGTTTGATTGCTGGATATTTGTGTAATCGACAGTCTCAGCTAGGTCAAAAGGTATTTTATTGATTTATATTTATATTTAATATTATTGTACGGCCATGTTGTTACTGCCATACCAAAATTTTGATTATATTTGTACGGTTGGGTTTTAAATTCTTATTAGACAAAGTCGATAACATAATCAACTCTACCTAATAAGTATTTTAACTCAACTGTACAAAATGATCAAAATTTGGTATAGCAATAACAAGTAACCGGATAATAATACCGTTATTGTATGGCTGGATAAAAATTGACACGATGGTATGGGTGATAAGTGATCGAATCAAACATCTGTCAAAGATATGTGGGCCACTATCGCGGCCCACATATCTCCGACAGATGTTTGATTCGATCACTTATCACCCATACCACCGTACCAATATTTTTTCATCGATTATACAATAACTTATAATTATTATATTTACCTATTAACATTTAACTAATGAAAATTATGTATGAATCGTGAGAAAGCAATTAAATTCTCAATTGTATGGACCACTTACTATTCTTTTAATGTCAACCGAGTGTATTCAGAGACATTGGCCTGAAAAATCGCAAGTTTCATCATTTAAGTTCATTATAATTTTGTTGCTATAGATTTCTATATTAACAAAATTGCGAATTATTAGGTTTAATAAAATTGCATATGTACTTGATGAGAAAATAAAGCCAGTTCGTTTTGACTTTACGCATTTGTTAATACAGTTGTGTATTGAATCAGCAAAATACAATAGTCCAAAGTATTGCTATTATCTTCGTTTGGCTAATATATACTGCCTACAGGGGTCACCTTTAAAATCCTTGAGGTAAAATAAATCATTTCATCGAACAAAATGACCATATAATCCTAATTAATCACTATTTAATAGATATAGCATGGAAGCAATTGCGTTGAAAACGTCCTTTTATACGTTTCTTGATAAAATAAATGAATTATGGCCTTTGCATACGATAAAGCAAATGATTTTATGTTCTCTTTCTCGCAAAGGTAAATTGTTTGTATCATTTATTTTTTAAATTAGGTCATTAAAAAAAAAAACCTAATTAGTAATAATTAATGTTGCTTAATTAGAACCCATCGCTGCAGTTGTATTCCACCAATTTATACAACACGAATTTGGCTGCCTAAATGAAACGAAGTCTTTGCTCGATTTGGCGATAAACGATGGGACATTACAAAAATCCATTTTTACCAAGTTTATATTTGACGTTCAAGTGCTAGAACACATTTGTAGTATCCTTTTTTTCACATTTATTATTGCTGATTTATACAACATAAAACTTTTTTTTTGATTGATACTCCATCAAGTGGTTATTTTATTCCTTAATTATATAAAGAATATCTATATAGCAGGGGCGAAACCGTACAATTTAACGAGATAGTATGAACAAATTTATAATTTTCAATATGTTTATGTTTGAAAATTAGTTAAACTGAATATTTACATCTGCCATTTTAGTCAAAATGGTTACGGTCACACTTAGAAGAGCAAGCACCATCAATATTCTCCAAGAGTTATACTTTTTCTGAAAATGATAAGCAAACAAAGTTTAAAAATTATATCAAACATAAATCCCATAAAGAAGTAATAGGAATTGATATTGATCCAACACATCAAGAAATTGTTATCGAGGAATTGAAACGCCAGTTTATGCATACTGTACTTGAATGGATTGATGAGGAAAATGAGGTTTGTTTGATAATGGTATTATTTTTTTATTCATGGATTATTTGTTAACCCGTTTATTTTCGAACAGTTCAATACCAAATTTCAAAGCTACCAATACATAATTGTCATGTTGAATTATTTAATTGTTGTATTTACAGTGCTTTGTATACTTAGTTGTGAACACTCTTTTATTATATGTACTAAGTTGTTACAAATGATATGTTAACAATTAAACGTATCTACGGTTTGATTGACAACGCCCCATATTTTACTACGTAAAAATTTAATAATTTAAAACTTAGAATAATAAAAAAAGGGGGCTGGTAATCGTACCCCCCACATTTGGTATTCATACCCCCCAGAAAAACAAAAAAAAAATAAAATCTAAGCAAAGATATATCGACG